CTTACCACTGAAACTGAACTTACTGAATTCTGCGGTTGTATTTTACTTCAGTTTCTGAATAGCCCTAGGCAAAATCCACAAAGAAATAACAAAGGCCTCCCTCCATACAATCAAAGAAGTATTATCCAGTTTCCATTCATGCCCAGAAAGCATACCCCTTGTTTGGATTATGTTGTTGCTATTAACTATTTGATACTTAGCAAAGAGACAGGAAAATAGAGCGTCCCTAGCAGAAAACTCATAACTAGCAGACTTCCTAGAAAAAGTCATATAAACTCAAAAGCCTCTGAGGGATATAGGAGATGAGAAATGTAGTTATAAATTTTTTAGCTAAATATTTGTGAAAACAAGCAAAAAAAAAAAAAGAGTAAGAAACATGGAATTCTCTTTTTATACTGATACTCTCAACTTGTCTTTTACTATATATAACAACAGAGAAGGGTAATACAAAGGGCTATAAAATTGTGGACATGCAAACAACATTTAAAGCTCATTTTTTTCCCTGCAGGTTGAATAAGCAATCAGGTTACTCTCTTGGTCTGAACACAGACAAACATGTCCACTGGTATTTGTCTATTAAAAAATAACACCCTAAAGCTAACTGATACAATAGCTATCATACCAATCAGTGCGTGTGTCAGCTACCACAGATATCATAGTATGCCGTTGATTGATATGATGGGTATCTTCGCAAGCACAATTAATAGAGTTTATACAGAAAGGGTTCTGCAAAAACTAAAGACCTGTACAGATTACCTTATTCTCCCAGCACTCTTGAGATCCCTTCCAGAGTCACATAAACTGTATTTGCAAACTATCACATTTAACCTCATGGAAAAAAAAATGGGTAATTCTGTAGTTACCACAGGAAAACTATTGAGGGAATATTTCTGTGCTTTGAGATATTAAAAAAAACCCAACCAAATAACAAAACAAATAAAAAAAAACATCAAAAACCAACCACCACCAAGGTTAATGCTCCATGCTCTGATATTTCTGCGATTTGTATTTTCCACAGGTAAAATATTCCCTGGAGAGGTCAAAGTTACTGCAAGACCCAGTTTTCCACCAGCCATTATCTGAAACTGTCAGAAGACCAAGGACTGAACTCTTCTTCACCTGATGGAAAGGTTTACGGGTGGCATCTCTGGAATGAAGATTTCACCATAAATCCCATGTGATTTTAGGGCGTGTAGATTATTAAAGGCACATCATACGACACTGCAAAATTACAAAGCCTTTACAAGGAACAGTTGAATTCTCTTAGAGACTCTGGACAGATGGCAGGATTTGACTATCACTAAATCAGCTTAATCAAATACATTATTAGTTTTCCAGCCCAATATTCACTGTGTATTCCTAAAGAAACTGCTGAATAAAAAGGGTGATGTGCCAAGCTTATAGCAAGCAGACAACAGAAATCCATTTTCCTCCAAGATCAACCTCCTCCCAGTGTGCTGTAAATGCTTATACAAATTACAAGAAACAAAGCTCCCCCTGAAAAAGCAGCTCATTAGAAAACACAAAAGATCAAAACCTAAATTCCACTTTTTTATGTGCTTAGTATTTAATCAAGTGCCTGTTAAGATGTGACTATGAAGTAATTCAGGAAAATCAGGAGGTCAGACTGACTGTCACAGAACCACCACATCAATGAACAAGCATAATGGGCTTTCAGGTATCTAAAATAACAGGTCCCTCAAAGGTTGGATGTGCAACTTCTCTGTGAGATAATTCCAGCAGCAAGGGGTGAGCACTTCATTTATCAGAACTGCCACTTAATGCTTAAGCACAACTTAAGGCTCACAAGAAAAGATGCATGACTCTACTTTGATTTCTAAAAGACAATCCTGAGTTACTGTTAATTCTCTTAATGGCATAAGGCATCAAAAGCTTCCCTAGAATTAGCAGATTTGTAACCAAGAGTTCACACAGTATCTTATTTTCTCAATGCATAATCAAAACTTATTTTGACGGAACTCACATTCAGTCATACTTTAGTAAGAGAAATTATTCTCAGAAACATTTTTGCCTGTCCCCTGTACAGCGATATTTCTTCTCCCTTGTCATGGCAATGTTAATGCTCAGGAAGTAGAGCAAAGTGACTATTGCTGTGCATGACAAGGATTATTTGCTGCAACAATTACTGCTCAATCAGAATGTTACTTCTGTTTACACTCAACAGGCATAAAAAAAAATGATTCCTAGATATCAGTATATGCTAAACACACCCATTTTATACTGTTTGAATTTTGAGCAGGCAACACATTTTAATGTAGTTGTGGCTTTATTTTTAATGCAAAATTATGACACCTCTTTTGAAATCCTAACATTTTCTATTAAATACATGCTCTCATTTTCATCAGCACGCAAGAAGTAGTTGATTTTGTTTGCATTAACACAACGAACTAATAAATATATTCTTATTTGTACTAAAGCAAACACAGTATCCTTATAACCTATATATTTATTTCCTTAAATTATTATCTGGAATAGTGTCAATATCTCAAGCTCTTGATGAAAAAGTAAAGAAAAACAATTTTAGTTCCATAGACAAGTACTATTTTCACTGTATGCTAAGATTTTTAATGATAAGAGATTCATCTGACTAATAGGTCATGAATCCGATTTGCATATGGAACACACAATGTCCCCAAAACATTCAGCTCATGTCAAATCACAAAATGAATCAATTGTAGAAGTGGTGTTGAACAATTTATTCACCATTGTTTGGGACAGGCTATTTAATTAATTTCTGATTTTTAAACAAATGAGAGGTTGCATATATCTTTATATTAGCATACAGATACTGGTTAACTACATTAATCATATACAACAGGCCTGTGCTCAGTTAGGTGGGTCTTTCCAAATACATGGCAATTAAACCTTCCTACATATGAATCACTTCGCACTCACAGAATACTTTCTATATGAGTACTAAATATTTACAAATGAGGCTGGCATACTTTATATAATCTTCACCACCTCGGCTGAGATGACCAAGGAGCACTATCATAATGTACCTAACAGACGTAGGCAGATGAAGATTAAATAAAGCCACCTTCTTCCTTACTTCCATTTTTCCATTATGGCTATGGCATCTGGACTCTGAACTTTACACATCACTCATACTGCTAGCTTGAAATAAATGGTGTACCAGTTCAGGACACCATACATGTTTTGGAAACGTAACTGTTATTAATTACAATTTTAAGAAGCTTCCTACATATTCTAATACATTCAATCAGGCCATACTTTTCCACAGGAATAAAAAAAAGTGAGATACAATGTCTCTGCTGAATTCCTACTTCTGAAAAACACAAACATCAGCAATTCTAAGTCTAATGCTGCAGCCCAAAAGAAATTTTGGAGGAGGAGAAGCTACTGACTTCTTCACAGCCTCCTTTAAAATGACAAAGATAAACAGAAGAGTCAATATGCCAATGCTCACAGTGCTGCTTATTAGAGAAAATTTAAAATGAAGTCTCTGTCTCATGGGAAATTCTAAGCTGCCTTTTTTCTAAATATCAACCAAAAAAATATTTTTCAAAGGTCAAAATTTAAAAACTCTTTTCCCATAGAAGTTGAAATATAACACATCCAACTGTCACTCACCAGACATTCTCATCTGAAACAAAACCACTGCCACTTTCCCAAAATGTATTTCCCAAAAGTATTTAATATTTTGTTGAAAAAAAATTTAACAGGGTTTTTTTATCATTTGTACTTTTAGTGTTAGGGCTTTTCATTACCTTCTGTTAAAGAACACAAAACAAAATTGTAAACAATATTTAGTATGCAAAGCAAATGACACACAAGATTATTATTTGTAAATAAGATACTAGATTTATGAACTAAGATTTTACAAATGCTGAAACAAAACCAGGATGCATTTGCTTAAACTGAACCACACAAACAACCAAAATGTGCCTACTTTCACTTTCTGTACTTTTATCAGTTAGGAGTTACTCCTTAACTGTATCCTGCAGAAAGGACATTTCCTTTTTTTATTATTATTAATACTTGCCAAAGTCTGTAGTTTGTAACTGAATTAGCCAGTCTTTCATTTTGTCTCTAAACCAGCCATTTTAACGCACAGTTTATCTATGTATAAACTACTTGGTAACATCAGTTTGTCACCTTCATATATATTATTGATGAGAAAACAGACAATGCACCAATTAAGATGCATGTACTGGTCTCATCTCCAGGCTCAGCCTGAGGTACTGGTGGAACAGTTGAAGCAAAAACTCAGTTTTACATTTCAAAGAAAGTTCAAAGGCAGTGAGAAAAGACTGCCCTAGAAAGGGCACAGAAAATGGATTTATTGCTGGAAAAGTTTATTTAAGGAGTAGACTATATTATTTACTCTGTATGATAATAAAAATTAGACTATGAGTCTATATCTTGTTCAACAAGATGTGCTACTTAGTTTTCCTTTCAGTCTCGGATTAAATCTATGAACCTGACAAAATGATAATTTGAACATCCTTACAACACTAGTCACAGCTTAGTATCATAGATACAGGGTCAAATAGCTTAGTACCAAAGACAGAGTCAAATAATGGTCAAGATACAAATCAAGAAGATTTAACTGAATTTTTTTACTGTGCTTCTGTTGCTACCCCAGCAAGACATACAATAGTATTTCTTGGGCCCCAAAGTATTGCCAAGTGATAAATTAAAAAAAATGTTAAAAGTATGTGAAATTGGGATGTTTTTAGATGGACTAACAACCCTGAGATCACTTGTCTTCTCTGCTTCCATCCAAATTCTTGGATTGTCAAAAGTCACCAAGTCATTCCATAAACACTGTTTATTTCACAACATTTATGCAGCTGCCAATGAAAGCCATAAACACAACATACACACAGTTCATGGTACAACTTTGCAATGGTAACTCCACACTATAAATGTGGAGCTTACATTTACACTATAAGCTAATGAAAAAGAGCTGAGCTAAATCGGCACTAGCAGAGGACACAAAATACTTCTCTTACCTCCATTTCTGTGCAGTGTAAACGGCCCGATTTATCTGTAATTGGGGGGAAAAAAAAAATCAGATTGAGTAAAAGACAATTGACAAATAAAATTTAAAACTTGAATCTTTTTTTTTAATTGCCAAATATTCTTTCCATTACTTTAATCACACATTTCAATATTATTTCTATTATAAGCATCACAGAATTAACAACAAGAAGGCCCTGCCCTTTTTATTTGGATCCTTCACAAGACTCTCTCTTAAAAAGATGTGTCTTTAATGCCTGGCTTCATTATTTAAATTGTATGACTGATGCTTGGCCATGGAGGGAACATGAAAACACGTTGGCTTAAATTAAGCAGCAGTAAATAATTATTTCAAGAGAATAAAAAACAACATTAATTCATAAACCAAGAAAAAAACACTGTTTCATCTGGTGCTTCTGGGATATCAAAGAGTTCAATAACAACAAGAAGTTCAAGGAAATTAAAGTTGAAACATTACTGTAACAGTTTTTTAAGTCCCTCTTGGAAATTTTTGCATTTCCTCCAAGTTCAGAAACATCACTTTGTAATTTCTACAATACAGGAAAATTAAGTTTCTGAATTGTTTTACGAGATTGAAATCTCAATTTTTTCAAAGACAAAACACTTTGGTATAAAAGTAAGTAGCTCAACAGCTTTAAAACATAAGACTGAAATTTCACAGCATATTAGGAAGGTACCATTTCACTAAAAGCAGCAAGTTTATCATTTCATATTAATAATTCATGTCACAAAAGGATGAAGAAATTCTGACATGATGATTTTTTTGTTGGAAAAACAATGTTCAAGAAAGTCAAGCACTCCACTGAAATATATCCATTTCAAAGGGGAGCTACCCAAAACTTCAATTTCAAACCACACAGTTTTACTTTTTGTCTTTGCTTTTTGGCTGCATTGCACTCACACAGTTAGTTTAAAATTTGTGACTTTGGGCTTGATGGCACCACCCTAAGGAATATGTGACACGATTCCATGTCCCCACAGACTCAAAACCTAGAACGGCACACGTTTGCTTGACTCTGCAAACACCAAGATCCCATGTTATAAGTGACGGTTGGTTGCAAACACCACCCAGCATGACTGAAGGATTTATTGAAACCATTATGAAAAGCCTGCAATTTATAGCCGTAAGTGGAAGGACTGTTTTATCAGATTGCCTGGCAAGCCCAAGGAAGCTCAACCAACAGGTTAGCATAATGTTTGCACAGAGAAGTGATAATGCTGACTTCCTATGTTAAATCTGAATGGCATGCAAAACTGACAGCACTAGGGAAGAGTCACCTGCATAGAAAACAAGATTAATTTTTCATATTGAACTGGTCACCTTCTCTTTGAAACTAAAGGTTAAACACATCTTGAGTGAATGGAGAACATCCACCTAACAGGGTGAAAGTCATTTACCTTCGCTTTGAACTGTTGCCAATGAAAGCCTGAATATTTAGCATTAGTGTCTGACTTCAAAATGAGAAAGGGAAGAGTGCCTTAAAAAGGCACCTTTTGCATCATGCATTATCTTTTCAAAAGGACTAGTGATTCTGGTTGATTCCCTTCAAGATCCACATAAGAGATTTTTTTTGTTTAAAGTGGTAGCATTCATGTGATTATTATAATTCATAAATGGGAGAAATTTAGTGAGAACTGTTTTTAAATACTCCTACAATTATTAGCAGATTTATGAGTATTAGGGGCTATTTCTCTGAAATTCAAATGAGAGATGACCAAAGCAGTGTATCGCCATGATACAAGATGATACAAGACCAATTCACAAAAATGTAGTCAAGATGGGGGGAGAACACAAAAAAAAAAAACAAAACCAGTAAAATACTCTTTGTAAAAAAAAAAAAACAAAAAACCCAACCAAACAACAACAACAAAAAAAAAACCAAACCTACCCACCAAAAAAAAACGTTTTTTTTTAAATTGCTACTTCAGAAAAAAAGTAGTGATTTTAAACCTATAGCGATGCAATGGCATACAGAAGGCCATCAGTGCTTGCAGTCACTGGTAATTTAAAATATCTTGACTTACATTTCCTATGGTCTAATGGAACAGGAGGCAAACTGTCTACTAGATCCTCTCAGACACAAAGTACTCACTGCTACACCTCACAGCAATGCTGAGATACTGCAAAGATCCTTTTAATAGAAGTCCTGACCAAGTCTTGAAGCACAAAACCAGATAAATCAGCCCAGACCAAAATAAGAAAGGCAAAAATTGTGTTTCTGAAAGGAATAACAAGAAGCATATCTCGCAGCCTCTCTGATTGACCTTTTTTGATAAACTTCCATGAAAGCTGTTCTTCATAGAATCACAGACTGCTTTGGGTTGGAAGGAACTTTAAGGATCATGTAGTTCCAGCCCTCCTGCCACGGGCAGAGACACCTTCCACTAGACCGGGTTGCTCAAAGCTCCATCTGACCTGGCCTTGAAGTCTTCCAGGGATGGGGCAGCCACTGCTTCTCTAGGCAGAAAATTTCTGTTCTTCAAGGAAAAGCACTCAAACTCCAGAAATTTTCCTTATTTCATCTATGGTACTATCAAAAATTACTACTGTTTTCAGAGCAAATCATAATTCATTTTTTGTTTTATTATAAAAATACAGGTAACACCTTAAAGTGGATTATTTATTCTCATTTAGAATGAGAATAACCAGTTTTTACAAAATAAAATCACAGTACTGTCATGACTCCGTGTGCTGGGGAAGGAAGGGGTAATAACAACTAGCTGAAGTCTCACACCAGCTCAAATGCACTGCAGAGAGTATTCTAGATAGGTGCAAAGTGTTGACTTAGAACATTTAACATACGCTGCATTATGGTGATTACCCACCATACCATTCCATATGCCTCTGTACCTTGAGTCCAGCTATACCCTTAGATTTCCCTGAGCTGTTTGCAGTGACTTACAGACTCCCTCCATCGGGAATTCCCTACACTTCTGAAAAGATCAGCATTAACTGTATTGACCCAAGAAACATGCACTTACTTGCATCTGTCAAGACTGAAATGAATTTGCTTTTGTATGGCCCACGTAAGCCAATTTACTCATACTGGCTTTATTTATACTGGCTGAGAGTAGAAACTTCTTCATTCTTTAGCTGACATGACTGAAAAAGCAGAACCTCTTAAGTGTAGCCTAAGGGTCACACTTTCTTAATCTGCACTCGGAGAAAAAAAGAAACCCTATAAGAAGTCATAGAAGAGTCTCTGTCTACCAACAGTATTAAGTGCTTATCTAGGAAATAGGTGGACTTACAAAAATTATTTCAGCTGCTGCTTCTTAATATAGATGCAGACTCCTCTAGACTTCACAGCCGTTCAACCAGCTACTAATCTATGTAGCATTTTCACCACTCTTGCTGCCAAAAAAAGATTCAACAGTACTTTTCCATGACAGCTTTCAAATAGTGACTAATGCAATCATTACTAGTAAATAGCATAACTTTAACTGTCAAGTTAACTTCAATTTATACAGAAGCTACAGTTTGGAAGATTATAGGATTCTTCACTCACAGATTGTTGAAATGCAAAAAATTAACAGTTTTTGCAGGAAGGAATGAGACTTCAATTGTTTTTCTGTATTTCTGAAAACAGCCTTCAAAGAAATATATTTGCAACCCAAAAAAAGAGAAGAAACCCCAAACCTTTACTTCATTTTTCATTTATAAAAATTTCTATTTGAAAATTATTCTTATTTAAAACCCACAACAAGAGAAGTAATGCTAAGCTTTCCTCAAGCATTAGTGCAGTCTCAGCCCCCAAGGTAGAAGCTTCACATACAGCTGCCAATAGTAAGAAGCACACATTTAAGACTGAATTTTAAAAGCAAAATGGATAATCCAGTATGTTAAAATAGACTGACACGGGATATTTAAAAGAAAGCATGTAAGATGTGCACAACCATTTGCACACTGCTACTTGAAGAAAAATTAAGCATTAGTGATGTGACACCACAATCACATGGCCACTGTTTCAGCTATAACCAGATGCTCTAAGAGCCCTTCAGCTTAGAGCCCCTGAGCATCTTCCTAGTTTTCCTCTAGTGCCTCAGACTCCTCTGCACAGATCCAAAAGCACTTGCTTCAAGACAGCTTCTTGCAAAACTGAAATCAGCAGCACTGATTTTAAGGCAATAGTGTAGCTGATGTATGCATTGGCAACAAACCTGAAACTCAGTTTATGTTAAAGATTCTAATATTGTGTTTAAATGCCACAGCCTTTTTCTGAAGCTTTTGGGTGAAATGAAGCTGCTATTTCCACCACAGCAGAGCTCAGGTTGCCTTCAGGAAAGACAGCCACTGTCTGTATGTACTAGAGGACAGTGGAAGAGTTAGCCAAAGAAAGAACACAGGGGCTAATTGAAGGAAACAGAGCAAGGGAGAATGTGGGAGTCACTAACTCAAGATCCTTAAATTGAAGCCTTTAGTCAGGCCACCAAATTAACAGTCAGTTGAATCTGTATTTGCTGTCTAGCTTTAACATCTTGAGAAGGAACAGGAGCTACCATAGTAGGCTCTTCCCTGGCCTTAAGACAATGTGGAACGCCTTTAAAAAATAAAAGAAAAACAAAAATTTCAGATTCACATTTAACCATCTGATTGAGGAACTGGAGCATTAGCTACCAAATCTGACAGGACTGTCAATATGAGAGTCAAGATTAGAAACAATAAAAGGGAAAGAATGAAGAGAGCAAAGGCAAGCAAGCAACATATGGGAAAGAGATGAATATGCAAAAAACAGGATTCACAATTAAATGGAGGGAGAGGAAAATACTGACGCAACAGGAGTGAGCCAGAATTCTGGCAGAGGTTGCATATTACCAGATAAACAGAGGAGAAATCTTGCATGATAAAAAGAAACAGAAAAAAGTGAAAGCAACAAAGATAAACATAGATAAAGTATAGCTTAGGAGTAAGAGGCAAAGGCTGCAGGGAAGAAGAGCAAGATGAGGAAGTGGAAGGAAGCACACTGGATTAGAAGAGGTAATCAGGGACCACCTGAGCACCGACCA